TGTGTGTGTGTGTGTGTGTGTGTGTGTGTGTGTGTGTGTGTGTGTGTCCAGGTTCCTGGGCAGCCTGCGGTCCCGTCTGAAGCAGCTCCACCCGTCAGCCAACTGCAGCCTGAGAGACGACCACATGGTCCACGTCCACTTCAAGGAGGAGATCGGCATCGCCGAGCTCATCCCCCTCGTCACCACATACATCATCCTTTTCGCCTACATCTACTTCTCCACACGTCAGTCCCGCTCCTCTGCCCGTCCGCTCTGTGCCAAAGATCCAGACTCGTGCCCGTCGGGTTCTTTTGTGTGCGCATGTGTGTTTGTGTGCCAAGGTTGTTCCTGTGCGGGGATTATCCTCACGCAGGAACACTCTGCTGTAGGAACCCACTTAACCCTTGGCGACCTGCCTCTGCAAATATCTGTTTAGAAAACGGACGCATTCGTCCTCATTTTACACAAAATAATATTCACACTCGTATGAGTTAGTTGATTTATGTTTGCCACCTTGTTAAAGACATTTCTTTTACAGTTATGTGCAAACGTAACCTAGAAAATGCTTCTAACTGCTGTTTTGCTCATTTTTTAATTTTCAAAGTGAGAAAGTAATTTGTTTCTTGATTCCTGTAAAATAAGTTTTTAATTAAATTTGTGTTGAGGGCACAACTATAAAATAACCTTCCTTTTATACATTTAAATAACATTATGTAGCTAGATCTTTACAATGTAGGGATTTTCAGAATTAATGGTTGAATGCAAAACCTTCAGAGCTTAAAAAAATAGTCACAGAAGTGAAAAAGTTTTAAAAAGGCTTCAAATATTTTGATTAATGCAGAAACAATTTTAGATTTTAAGTTATTTAGAAAATCCTCTTTCTTGATCTACTGTTGGCTAAGTCAAGTTTCAGGTTCATGTTTATTTTAGTAACATATTTAGTGTTATAAACCTGTGTAATGAAGCAGATCACCATCATTTGAAGGATTTGAGGAGAGTGCTTCTGACTTCATGGCTGAGGTGTTGGATAGCTACAATAGTTAATGAATATAACGATCATGTCCCGTCCTCCTCATGTCTTCTTTCTTTCCTCCCTGCAGGTAAGATTGACATGGTGAAGTCAAAGTGGGGTCTGGCTCTGGCTGCTGTGGTCACCGTCCTCAGCTCCCTGCTCATGTCCGTGGGACTGTGCACGCTGTTTGGACTGACACCCACGCTCAACGGAGGGTAGGAATGCCCCCCTTTTGTTTTTATCTCCACCAGGAGAACCGTTCGTGTGCGCCCGGGGAATGAGTGTGCGCCTCTGTGTCTGTCCGCGGCTAATCTGGCATTCTGCTGCAGCAAACTGCATAATGTTTTGGGTGGCCAGTTGTGGCTGCGTTCAAGAGCCTCTCGTGTTTGCAGCGACTCAAACTTTCTCGAAACAAACTTTGGCAAACCCTAAACTATTCATCTCGGGCCATTGTCAGTTAAAAATGCTGCGGACGTGACCAAATACTTTAATTTATGAGCATTACCTGCAAGACTAATGACATTCTCATGCTAACATGCTAAGCTAAGATGGTAAACATGAAAAACACTGCACCTGCTAAATATCAGCATGTTAGCATTTAGTTCAAAGTGCTAACCTGGCTGGAGACTCTTCGGCTTGAATCAGGAAAATGTCAACATGTTTCTCACAACTTGAGTCGCGTGTACATTTTTCCAGACAGGAAATATGTAATAAATATGTAATATGGGTTAGTAAATATTTACTGACCCAAAAGGCCGTTGCAGTTTCATCATTGGCTCTTATCTGAATCACTGAAAGACAAGGACAGGTCCTTGAAAAAAACACTCGCACACATGCACACACGCGCGCATACCAGCTTATTGACTTCTCACTTCCTCTGCATTGACTTTCTCATGGATTTGTGTTGATGTGTACAGAAGGTGGGCGGAGAAGTCTGTGTGGATGAAGGAGAGTGGACGGGGCATGGATGTGGGTGGAGACATAGCGATATTGACATTCCCCGGTTGTCCAATCGTTTGAGGATTATTAGAAAGCAGACTTTGTGGCGTGACCACGTAACAAACACGTGGTTGACTCCACACAGAGGGCTCCTGGTACAGTGGTAGTAATGAGTGTGTGTGTGTGTGTATTCCTGGTACAGTGGTAGTAATGAGTGTGTGTGTGTGTGTGTGTTTATTCCTGGTACAGTGGTAGTAATGTGTGTGTGTGTGTGTGTGTGTGTGTGTGTGTGTGTGTGTGTGTGTGTGTGTGTGTGTGTGTTTATATTTATTCCTGGTACAGTGGTAGTAATGTGTGTGTGTGTGTGTGTGTGTGTGTGTGTGTTTATGTTTATTCCTGGTACAGTGGTAGTAATGTGTGTGTGTGTGTGTGTGTGTTTATTGTGTACGGTGTTGCTGAGTGAGTGATGTAACGTGCAGAGTTGACTGCTCTGTGACCCAGTTATACACTTCTACAGTACAAGCTAAAGTAATTTTTTTCAAAGCGATTCTTTACAAACATTTGAGGGAGATGGGGAATATTTGTTCCTTAGATTTACTGCTGATAATCTCGGTACTAAAGTTTGTACTTTTTGAGTCCGCCGGTGCGGCGCTCGTCCGGAGCGCAAAGTTTCAAGAACTGCTCTCATAACTTCAGAGCAGTGAAGAAGGATTTTGTTGTTACGTTAGAATATCCAGCAGCAGAAGTGAACTGCGGTCAATGAGCCGCAGCCTTTGTTTATTCAAAGCTTATTAATATTTAACGTGCCGCGTGTCCACAATGCACCGACGGCATCACTGCACGTGGTTGGGTCCCCAGCAATACAGCTGTGTGAAGAAGTCACGCACAGACAGACTTGCGTTATATAATTAAACTTTATAGGTAGATTGACAGGTGTCTTTATGTGTGTTAGGGGGGAAAACATGCTAAAATGGCAACACGCTACAGTGTATACACAGTAGGCTAACTTTTAGTGGCATCGTGGTGCAGTTGTTGGCGCTGTATAGAAAGCCAGGGTTCGATCCCCGGTCGGTTCGTGTTAAATGTGAAAATCAAATGAAAGATTAGACGATCCTGTGGTGACCCCTTTAGATGCACCGTATGCAGACCCACACTCAGAAGTGAGTGTTTAATGTTTTGTTGTTTTCTGTCTGCAGGGAGATTTTTCCTTACCTGGTGGTGGTGATCGGCCTGGAGAACGTCTTGGTCCTCACCAAGTCCGTGGTGTCCACCCCCGTCGACCTCGAGGTCAAACTTCGCATCGCTCAGGGTAAGGATAAAGTGTGTGTGTTTGTTTGTTTGTTTGTTTCAGGTAAAGCAAGACCAGCAAGTAAATGTAGGTTCATCAGTAGATTGTTAATACGCCTGAGCTTGTGGAGCTTGTCACAGAGAAATGATTAGAGCTTCTGATTTATTGATTTATTTTTCGGGATGTAATTAGAATTTAGAATTTGTTTTTCTTCTCCAGGTCTTAGTAATGAGAGCTGGTCTATCATGAAGAACATGGCCACTGAACTGTGCATCGTCCTCATTGGATATTTCACTCTGGTGCCGGCTATCCAGGTAACAGAAACATGGTTGTATTGTTGCGTCAGCGAAGTATTAGAAATAATAGATCGACGTGTTTCATATACTGAGACAGAATGTGTTGAAGAATCTGTTTCTCACTGAGCATTGTGTGTTCTTCCTGCAACACATGACGCACTCAATCCAAAAACACTGGAGCTATGTAAGCCAGTCATCGTGCCTGTTTTTTAACCCGTTTGTTAAAGTTAGAAATGCTAACATCGGCTTTGTCTCCGCTGGTGTGTCCGTGTGCTGCAGGAGTTCTGTCTGTTCGCTGTGGTCGGGCTGGTGTCTGACTTCTTCCTGCAGATGTTCTTCTTCACCACAGTGCTATCTATAGACATCCGACGCATGGAGGTGAGAGAACTGTCACTCACTTATACATGCAGACATTTTCATTCATGAGTACATTCAAATCACACACACACACACACACACACACACACACACACACACACACACATGTGAGGCTGTTGAAAGCAGAATAACAGAAACTGACAACCAAAGTTACGGCTGTTTTGAAATCTGCGTGTACTTGACACACAGAGGCACATATCTGTCAATCAATCATTAATCGTAGGAATCTTATTTGTAAACATGAAGACAACTGGTAAAAAGGTCAAACTGGGGCTAACACGGACACACACACACAAGCTCTTTCTCATGAGCACATATGAGTCAGTGCACAACTAAGTGAGCATTGGCATCATAAGATTATGCATTTACATGCACAAAAATACAATCCTGAATCCTCAGTAGAATATGTGGTAAAATATGTTTTTATATATATCGTTAGATTAACCGATTAGTCTTTTTAACCCCTCCCTAACCACAGCTGGCTGATTTGAACCGCCGCCTGCCGGCCGAAGCAGGTCTGCCGCCACCGAAGCCTGGCCTGCTGCGTACACGAGAGGTCCCCCCTCCCCCGCGGCCCTCCCCCCACACGATCACCCTGCAGACCCCGGCCTTCAGGAACCTCCGGCTCCCCAAGAGGCTGCGTGTGGTGTACTTCCTGGCCCGCACGCGCCTGGCTCAGCGCATCATCATGGTGAGAAGAACGGACTTTAAATTTGTACTGTTTCATGTAACGTTGTTGGCTTCCTGTGTCTGGATTATGTGTCTTACTTATTGCATCATCATTGTATTAATGCCGGAAAGACTGACAGGAACATTCTCTGTTATTTTTATATTTGTTGGTTCAGTGAGGCTGCACCCTCAAGCTGACTTTTACCCGTGTCATTGCTTTGAAACGGATAAATAGCTTTGCAATTGAAACCACAGCTACAGGGACTGGTAGCTTAAGACTACATCCACATTAAGCTCGCTAAGTCAGGCAAAAAGCATCGTCAAATCATTTGAGCTTTAGTTTGAAAATATGCCTGATGATCAAACAGTGTGACATGATGTTTTCAGCAGCTCCAGCAGAAATCTCACCTCAACTGACCGATCACTGTCATTCTGTTTGCTTCATCTTCAGGTCGGAACGGTGATCTGGATCGGCATCCTCGTCTACACCGACCCAGCCGGAATACGCACCTACCTGGCTGCACAGGTGTCGGAGCAAAGCCCTCTGGGAGATCCCGGAGGAGGCAGCCTGCCCCCTCACCTTGGGGTGGCGCCTGTCTTTCATGGGGGCGATCCTACCAGCACCCTCAGAGTCCACCCACCACCAGATCCGACTCCCTTACCTGAGAACCAGTCACAGGGCCACCATGGCGCCGCCAGGGCGGGGCCCCTCCCCCAGGCTCCGCCCCCCGCCGTGCCCCAGATCACCTGGGGAGCGGAGGACGAGGAGGGCTGGAGGAGGCTCTCCTTCAGGCACTGGCCGTCGCTCTTCAGCTACTACAACATCACTTTAGCCAAGAGGTGAGTGTCGCAGCAGAAGACAATTAAGAATTTTGTTCTTTACCCACTGAAATGTTTTTACTACCGGTTAACTATGTTTATGTCCCAACGTAAAGGTACATTTGACAGTTTTAGATTCTGCATTCTGATTCTGGAGACCCCATGAGGTTATATAATCTATATTAATTCTGTTACTGGACGTCTGGTTTCAGGTACATCAGCATCCTGCCCGTCATCCCCGTCACTGTTCACCTGAGCCCTCAAGAGGCCATTGAGACGCGTCACCCTCAGGACACCAGACACCCCCCGCCATCCATTCCCAAAGTCTCTGCAGATCTACAGACGGACCTCACGCTCTACAAGTTAGTACACACACACACACACACACACACACACACACGTCTTTCAACCAGGATGTTGACGTGCACTTGAGAAACCTGGTTATTGTCGCTTTCTAAACTAACCAACCCTTTTTAAGCGCTCATGTACATGACACCACAGAAAGAGAAAAGTAACACCAGCCGTCCCAAATAACTCAATACAGAGTCTGACTGAAACTTGAAGAGAGCTGAAGAAGGTCAGCAGAAGGTTGTTGGACAGTAGGTGGGGGAGAAATCTGATCACTGACCAGCTGGATGGAGTTTTAGTAGTAGTTTGTTTTTGGGCTCCTTTTAGGAGTGAGTTCTTTTCTGCTTATATATAGAGTCTGAGAAAGTTAAATATTGCACATTTCTTATTACATTTGTTGTGATAGTTACATAAACTCATGTTGAGTTTATATAGTTTGCACAGTGCCTATAAAAGCATCCAGCTCCTTTTGACCGTTTTATTGTTTTATTGATTTTCTTTTTGAGACGGCCATAAATTGATAAAAATAATTCTTTGGAAATCTGCACCTGGTTAAAACAAAACGCTCTCACGCAGACTAGAGTCAGCAGTGACAGGTCCTTGGCCTTGGTTCTCTCCACCAGAGTGTCATTGAACTGATTGCACAGTGGACATTGAAGCCTTTTATTTAAGTCTCTTCTTTGGGAGTCTTCATCAGGAGGTCGAGCAGTGAAGCAGAATAGATTCCGAGGTGTATGTGAGTCAAGGAAGTGTTCATTTCGTTCAATAGAACTATGACTGAATACCGTCAATGATCTTTTTCTACACCACTGAGACGAGATGAGACTGTGACTATATCAACATGCCTTAAAAAATGTAAAAAATAAGATTTTACCAAAATTGCTACACCGGCAGCACAATCATGAGGAGTCGGAGGAACTAACTTGCTTAGTTTTAAGTTGCACAGTAACTTAAGTTAGACCACATCGACTGAAATGTTCAATATGATCTGATGACTAAAAAACACTGAAATGATTTCAGATTTCATCGACTAGAAACAGGTTTTCTTTGACCAAGATACAAAAGACTAAAATAAAAAATAGCTGACGAGATCTAAGTCACGATGGGCTCTCACACTCGTTTGAAACACAGGCGGGGAATAATGACAAATTTAATTTTTGTTCGTTTTTTAATTCGTATTTAATACAAAGTTGCACTAAAGTGAGAGAAAACCTAGACATTTGTGTCTGGTGTTTTTATGGGGTGAAGTCTATCGCAGCTCTTTTCTTTTGTTTCTAGAAGAAGAGAATGAAGGAGACGCCTCATCTTTGTTTTATGGATGCATGAAGCGCACCGTGTAAAGTGTCACTGGACTGATTGTAATCTTATCTGACGCTAAAAGAAAAAAGAAGTCTTCACCTCTTGATAAGCATCGTCTCTCCCTGACGGGACCGGACTGGTTGCTTTAAACGTACCTGTGCTTTGTGGTGTTACAGATCTTGAGATCTTTTAAGGACGAAAAAAAATCAGGCACTCAGGTGTTGGACCGCCAGCTTCCCTTCTCTAATAACAGACGTCTTCACCGTGAACAGTCACATTTCACTGCTTGTGAAGGTGCTGAGATTTGTCAACTTTGTTTACTGTGACAAATCTCTCCACCATTGTTTTCGATGGTTGCCACGTCTGACTGCTGGAAAACTTGTGTGATTGTTGAGTTATTATGACAACTGGCAACCGGGAGCTGTTGGCGGCACAACTGCATATTTAACAGGATTTTCCATATGTGGATTTAGATTCACTTTGTATTTTATGTGATGAAATGTTGCATCTACTGCGGAAAACACTAAAAAGAGAGTAAATTAGGACAAATAATGAAAAGAAGCAGCTGGAGGCTGTCTCTCCCCTCTCTCTCAGCAACAACATGGGTGTCTGGAGTTGAGCTTTCACTGCGCTGTGTTGAGTAAGGGAAAGCGTTGTCACCTTGACTAAGTGGAAGGCCGGGTTCTTTTCGTTTCATCTTTGGACGGCAGATATGAAGCGCTATCAGCTGAAGTCGGGTCAAGGTCGAGACCTTCTCAGTGGGGAAGTGGCAGCTGAGCTTGAGAAGGCCAGTGTGACAGAGGTGAACACGCGTCAGTGGGATCGAGAGAAAGTTGCAACACAGACAGATTGTCTTCTAATCTCTAGAAAAGGTCGATGGATATCGTATATGGTGACTGTGACCTATTTCAAACATTAAGTTCACTGTTCAAGCCTGTCTGCACAGACCAACACGGCGTCACTGCTGCCTGCATCAGAGCGAATCTACCTCCTCCTGCGTCAGTATTTATATTTGTTTCTCTCGGCATGTGTCAAGAAATAGGACGAGTCTTTGAGTGAGAAAGAGAATATATGAGGGATTCCTCATTTAAAAAGGTCTCAATCACAACAATGAGCTTAAAGGGTTCACCCCAAAAATATTTTACTGCTGCTTTAATGCAGAGCTTTGTCTTTTGAGCACTTTATTCTAAATCATTTCAAAGAAGAATCCTCAGTTTGTTGGTCCGTTTTAAAGCCAATTAGCGATGAATCATACACTTAATTAGCTGATAAATCGGTAAAATAAATAATATTTAGCTGCAGCTGTAGTTGTTTCTCGTCACACGTCATCACTCGTTCCTCCTCTCCTCTGTAGAGTGGATGTGTTTACATATCCACAGAGACACACATCCAGCTGTTCATAGTTGCACATCATAAACCTTTCTAGGATTAATCAACAACACGTCTTAACGGCGTTAGCAGATGTTGACCGGCTAATATATGTGTAGGGACAATGTGTAATTTCTGTTCTCGGTACAAAAACAAGAGACGTTTCTGTTTAATCTGGGAACAGCGAGAACCTATCCCGGTAAATATTGCAGCGAACGTGTACGTAAGCTTTGTAGCCTCTCAAACATCAGAGAGACCGCGTGTGCGTCTTTGTGTATTTCTCAGATACGTGAATGTATATCAGCAAAGAGATCGACCCACTAAGTTGTTCCAAATCTCAACTGCCTAGAATCAGTATTTGGCTATTGAGGACAGGATATGTATCCAGTGTTGGAACCAGATGTGTGACTCTGTGTTTGAACGCTGCGCTGCTCCATCAGCTAAGTGCTCAGACACATTTGATTTCCTCTGGAGTAAAACACAAACCGGACTGTGCACACTTCAAAAGGGCACTTAGTGCACGCGTGTTGACTTATTAAGTTCAGGTTGTGTAGACCGTGCTGAATGTTTCAGTCCCGATGCAGAGAGCGATACCTGGGCTTTGGTTATTGGCCGATACTGATCCAATAACCAGTGTTTGATTAATCAGCTGTGTGCGTCAGACTGGGATCATTGTTTTTATGTATAAGGAAGTCTCTGAGTCGGTCTCTGATATCCGTATCGGTGCATCTCTAGTTCAGTCCAAAGCCGTCACTAACATCTGCACCTCCGACCTCCTGTTGGACAACAAGTGAGTGAACGGTGAGAACACAAACAGGACACGACCCCGTCGATCTTTACTTATGACGAACGCACTGTTGGCTTCTCAGAGCTGGCGTCGTGCTTTGAAAGCTAACAAAAGAAGGACAGACTGATCCGTACTTGGATGTCTCTACTTCAGATAGCAGAAATTAGGTTGCAGGACGATTCGTCTTGCTCGGGAATGTCTTACAGAGGATCAAGGGTTGAAAGGTTTCCATAACAGCCTAAAACATGAGCTCTGTCTGAATCCAGATCTTCTGTTAATTAGTAATCGGACAGTGTGAGCTCAGAGAACCCAAAATCAAAAGGAGGCTGAAGTCCATCCATCCATCCATTTTCCACCGCTTATCCGGGGTCGGGTCGCGGTGGCAGCAGGTCAAGCAGGCCGACCCAGACCTCCCTCTCACCGGCAACATGTTCCAGCTCATTCTGGGGGATCCCGAGGCGTTCCCAGGCCAGCTGGGAGATGTAATCTCTCCAGCGTGTTCTGGGTCTTCCCCGGGGTCTCTTCCCAGTTGGACGTGCCTGGAAAACCTCCAGTGGGAGGCGTCCAGGAGGCATCCTAATTAGATGCCCGAACCACCTCAGCTGACTCCTTTCGATGCGAAGGAGTAGCGGCTCTACTCCAAGCTCCCTCCTGATGACCGAGCTCCTTACCCTATCTCTAAGGCTGAGCCCGGCCACCCTACGGAGGAAGCTCATTTCGGCCGCTTGTAGCCGCGACCTTGTCCTTTCGGTCACGACCCAGAGTTCGTGACCATAGGTGAGGGTAGGAACGTAGACCGAGTGGTAAATTGAGAGCTTTGCCTTCCGGCTCAGCTCCCTCTTCACCAAGACGGTCTGGTGCAGCGCCTGCTTTACTGCTGCAGCCGCACCGATCCGTCTGTCGATCTCCCGCTCCATCTTACCCTCACTCGTGAACAAGACCCCGAGATACTTGAACTCCTTCGCTTGAGGTAGGCACTCCGTCCCCACCTGGAGGGAGCAATCCGGAGGCTGAAGTGAGCTTTTTTAATTCTAGCTCATTAATGCTCATTAATATTCCCTCATTATGGTGTGGAACTCACCTCGATGGGGTTTAAGATGCTTTAAATGTCACCACATCTGGTTTGAGTCAGCAAGGGGCCTTTGTTACATGTTATACTCCTAAAAATAATTCCATAAGATCAGTAATAAATAGATAATAAGCAATAAAACACCAAACTGTTATCTCGCGCTCCTGAATTCAGCCTGTAGCTTTGTGTTTTAAAGGTGAGCTTTAGTTTTCACAGAGCAGCAGACGGGCTCTCTAAAGGACCGGTATTTCAGGCACAGTTGGTCTCGCTCCGTTGGTGGGGGGGGGTTTCATCATCACAGTTGTGCCACATTCCACAGCAGGTAGACGATGCATATGCGCTCCGTCACGCCCAGTTCAGCACACAGAGTGCAGCAGGAATGAGTCCTAAAACCAGAAGATGAAACGTCCGCTTCCTTCGTCCTGAAGAGAATGTGGTTTAAATGTGTTTTTAGGTTAGGTGCCTAAGATACGGGCTGTGGTTATTAACACAAGCTGGAGAGATGTTAACAATTTGTTCTACGACATAAAATATGTCTGTTAATACCTCGTTGTGACTTTACGCGTCTCAAACACAGATTATTTTCTACAATAATTCAGGTTTTTTTCAAGGAAATTAGTGCGACGTCTTCCCCTCGGCCCCCTGTTATATTATATATATATTGTATATTAGTAAGTTCAGACCTGCAGAATATGTTTGAGGGGAGACTCGGAGCTCTCAGTTGTGATGTGTTGATTAAGAATGTGTCTCTTTAAGCGTGCAGTATAATTATTTATTAAATGATCTCAAATATGTAGATTATGTCTAAAGTTGCTGACCTGAAATTCTCCAAAAGTTGTTAAAAATGAGAGAAAGACAATATGACTTGAGTGGAACATGCACGTTTAAGAAACATGAGTTGTAAGTAATTGCGTCACAATTTAAAGTGTGAATTTATGGAACAGCTGTGGCGGAAATAGAAGGCTGTGTTTGTCCACCGTGTGAATTTGTCAAATGGTGTAGATGCTGCAGAAAACAAGTGTTTCACAGATCACAAAAATAAAAACATTCTTTATTTGTCCCTCCTTTGTCCCTCCCCCCCGTCCAGGGTGGCAGCTCTGGGCCTGGCGGCGGGCGTCTTGTTGGTTCTGCTGCTTTTCTGTCTCTACCGGGTGCTCTGCCCACGAAACTACGGCCAGAACGGCGTCGTTCACGGCCGCCGGCGCCGAGGAGACCTGCCCTGCGACGATTACGGCTACTCGCCACCCGTCAGCGAGATCTCACCGCTGCTGCTGAGGGGCCACAGTATGGTGAGAACGGACTCTAAACACCCAGAGCACCGAGTGAAGGGCTGGACTGGTCGAGATAGGGACGGCATTTATACCATCGGGAAGTTACAAGAGAATTTCTTTGTCAAAAATACTTCTTGGAGTCATAACTCTTGACTTACACTTCGAAGGAAATCATTATCTCTGGTTTAAATGTAATGTTACACCAACTGTAATTATGAAATTGTTCCGTTTCTCAGAGGAGGACTCGTGTGTGCATTTCACCAGCGGAGTGAGATTACTGCGTCAGTCTAGAACAACAACAGGATGTCACTGTGTTAGTTAAGGACACTTGATACCGCTAAATGTTCAAGTGTGGAAATGAAAGCCCGTTTTTCTTTTCTTCATTTGGTTCTCGCTCTGTATTTGTGTCTCTCAGGACATCGAGTGTTTGGCCAGTGACGGGATGCTGCTGGCCAGCTGTTGCCTTGCAGGACAGATTCGGGTTTGGGACACTCAGACCGGCGACTGTCTGACTGTCATCCCAAACGACGGGTGAGCATGTCACCATATCCATTTATACTCTAAATATGTCCAGCACTTTTCATTCAACCCTCTACTGTATCATTGCTAACGCAAGCTCAAAGGGATTACGGTTCCTGAAATCACGATTATTCCTTAAGGTTTCACACTTTAATTGTTTTCTAGAATCTAACTTTTCAAAACTAAATCATCCTCTCTATTACAGCACAACTGATAACTAACTGAGTTCCCTCCTCAGGCTCAGGCGGAGCAGCAGCAGCAGCGGCTGCTGGGAGCAGCGGGACGGCGCGGACTCTGAGTGTTTCGGCCCCGAAGCTCTCGGCCCCTCCGTCAGCTGCGACGGACTGTCGGAGGAGGAGGGCTACCCGCTGAGACGGCGCACTGCTCCCGCCTGGCCGACTCTATTCAACGACCAGCCCGATCTCACCCCGCTCATCGACACCAACTTTGCCTCCCAGCCCCCCTCCCACCTCTGCACCCCACCCAGGCACGGTTTTGACTTTGGCGGCCTGGTGGAGCGCGCCTACATGGAGCACGAGCCCCCCTCGCCGGCCGCCTACCCGTCCCCTTCCTCTGCCTCCTCCTCGCCGCCCACAGGGGCTCAGCTCCAGAGAAGACCCAGCTTAGGGGACGCAGCCGCCTTCTTAGCCCAAGACAGAGCCTCCACGGCGGGGACGCAGGCGACGGCAGACGGGGAGAGCTCTGTGTGGGCCATGGAGCTGAGAGGAAACCTGATAGCTGCTGGGAGGAGCAGCGGTAAACTGGAGGTGGGTCTAACCTCTAATGTTTGTTCATCTGATGCCCTTTCTCTTTGTTTTTCTGCTTTTTTCAGGTTATGATGATGACCAAATGTTTTACTTTAATATACTGGATAGATATTTTAAGACATCTGGTCGTCTTCTAGTCATTTAATGAATATTCTCATTATTGGCCATTATCAACATGCATTAACAAAATGCATCGGCTACCAAGAGACACTTGTTACGTTTAGATGCTTAATGTTTGGAAAGACTTGCTGTTGGTATCAAGTAGAAACAGCAGCTTAGTGTTCAGAGCCTGTCTGAATCCTCTCCCTCCTCTGTTCTGTAGAAAACATCCATTTAAATGAACACTACATGATATAAAGTTGATGTACTTTTTAAACTGTTGTTTCTGTTCCAGTTGTGGGATGCAGTCGAAGGGTCGTTACGCTGCATTAATGAAGACGCAGTGTCTGGGATCACAGCTCTAGCCTTCCTCAACAACAGGTGAAACACACACACACAAGCACAAACACACGGGGGGTAAACGGTGCTTCCTCTGGGATGGGGCTGTATTCAACATGCATTTCTCACTCGCTTCAGGTTTTATTGATCTTTTTAAGTAAGACAAACATGACTTTACATTATCCTCCGTGTGTTCCTCCTCCTCAGAATCGTAGCGGCTCGGCTGAACGGGTCTCTAGACTTCTTTACTGTTGAGATGAACAAACCTCTGGGTCTCCTGCAATACAGAGGTGAGGCTCAACGACATGACTGCATCTCTGGATATTCTCACAGCTTGTGTTATTGATTCTTTTTTGTTAAATTGAACATGGCCTTAATTAGCTTAATGTGAAGTAAATGAAGAGCATATCAACGTTATTCAAATTATTTTATGTTACATTACTTTATCGCAGACTATTATTAGCCAGGACACAACTTTATTAGCTGTTAATCTGATAACTTAGTGCTGAGGTTGATTATCAGAAGAATTGGGCAATGAAGGTTCCTTATGGGTGAAAATCTCCTCCTCGTCCTCCTCCAGGTGCCCCTGGGCGAGGCAGCATGCCTCCCTCTCCCTGTTACAGCAGCGAAGATGTGATCAGCTGCCAGCTCACGCGCTCGGTTCAGTGCGCTCACCAGAAGCCGATCACTGTGCTGCGGGCGGCTGCCGGGAGGGTCGTCACCGGGAGCCAGGACCACACTGTCCGGGTATAACACACACCGGATGCTAACACGTCAGGCTTCTGTCTGACGTGTTAGCATCCAACAGTGTTGTATAAAAACAGTTTTATTTGTGTTATTGTTTAATCCTAATACATTCTTTCTGTGTTCACTGATCAGGTTTATCGTCTAGAGGACTCGTGTTGCCTCTTCACTCTGCAGGGTCACTCTGGAGGGATCACAGCCATCTACATAGACCAGGTCAGTAATAGACCTTCTTCTAACACGATATTACACCACCAGAAAACTCATGCATAAAAAATATGCATACTCAGACACACTTTTGAGGAACCAGGACCAGTTGAGGGAAGAGTTTTCCACTGAAATCTTTAACTTTAGCTAACAGCACGAGCATTGATGACAGAACTTGTACTTGTGAGATGCCATGAGGTGCCATGCAGCCAGTACCTTTCTAAAAGTTGTCATTTCTGGTGTGACTTTGTTAGAGAGGGCTCAGTGTAGTAGTGTATTAGATGTAATCCTGCAATGACTTTTTTCAATATATTATACTATATACTTTTTTTCGACACGTTATACTATGACTGTGTTTACATGTTTTGACATGCTATACTATGACTGTGTTTACATTTTTCGACATGCTATACTATGACTGTGTTTACATGTTTCGACATGCTATACTATGACTGTGTTTACATGTTTTGACATGCTATACGATGACTGTTTACATTTTTCGACATGCTATACTATGACTGTTTACATGTTTTGACATGCTATACTATGACTGTGTTTACATGTTTTGACATGCTATACTATGACTGTGTTTACATTTTTCGACATGCTATACTATGACTGTGTTTACATTTTTCGACATGCTATACTATGACTGTGTTTACATGTTTTGACATGCTATACTATGACTGTGTTTACATGTTTTGACATGCTATACTATGACTGTGTTTACATGTTTTGACATGCTATACTATGACTGTGTTTACATGTTTTGGACATGCTATACTATGACTGTGTTTACATTTTTCGACATGCTATACTATGACTGTGTTTACATGTTTCGACATGCTATACTATGTCTGTGTTTACATGTTTCGACATGCTATACTATGACTGTGTTTACATTTTTCGACATGCTATACTATGACTGTGTTTACATTTTTCGACATGCTATACTATGACTGTTTACATTTTTCGACTTACTGTACTATGGCATTTTTTGACAGATTTTTCATGATATTTTTCTACTTATGTCTAAAAAGTGCTTTTTATTTGATTATTTTGCAATACTTAGACTTTTTTTCAACATTCTATACTATGAAAAATCCCGTGGAAAAAGTTAGTGCAGTGAAGCGTAAAATGTCATTAAACGTCATCGAATAGTTTGTCAAAAGAAGTCATGAAGATAATAATTTACTTGTACTTGGTCTCCTCAGACGATGGTTCTGGCGAGTGGTGGGCAAGACGGCGCCATCTGCCTGTGGGACGTCCTGACAGGGAGTCGCGTCAGCCATGTTTACGGTCACCGTGGCGATGTCACGTCGCTCGTCTGCACCACCTCGTGTGTCATCAGCTCGGGACTGGATGACCTCATCTGTATCTGGGACCGCAGCACCGGGATCAAGCTCTACTCCATACAGCAGGTACAGTTCAACGCCTCATAATAGCACCAATCACCAGCAGTTTCCTTCTTAACCTTTTTTTAACTTGAGAATTAATAATAAAAAAATGCACTGCAGCAGTATCGATACTCTCGTTTACCTCCCTCTCCTCACCAGGAGGCGGGTTGTGGGGCCAGTCTGGGAGTGATCTCCGAGTCTCTCCTGGTGACGGGGGGCCAGGGCTGCGTCTCCTTCTGGGACCTGAACTTCGGCGACCTGCTGCAGACGGTCTACCTCGGCCAGAGCAGCGACGGACAGGGTGTCCGGCAGCTGCTCGTGCTCGACAACGCCGCCATCATCTGTGACTTTGGCAGCGAACTCAGCCTGGTGTACGTTCCCTCTGTGCTGGAAAAACTAGACTGAGGAGAGACGGACGGCGGTTGTTAATGTCGGTGGGAACAAAAAAAAACATGCACTCAGAACATCCTTTACCCATTCATCCTTTCGTCTTTCCCTTCTTTCCCTTCTTTTGTTGTTTCTGACACCCAAAGGAGACACGATGACTAGACCGGTTTCCCTCTGCATAGGAAGCTCTCTTTTTTTTGTGTGGATGTTTTAAGTACACGCCTGGATGTAATGAGGAAACAAAGAGCTGAGGACTGATTGTGCAACCTGGAGGAAGGTGACGTACTTTTGATACCGAATTGTGGACATTTTACGAGGGTCCTGAGGTCCGTTCAAGAGAAGCTGGATGTTTCTCACTTAAAGAGGATCCACCAGTCACCAGTTTGTGCTTTTTATTTTTATTTTTTAAATGCGTGTTTGTTTTGTGGCTCTGCCCTCTATGCTGCTTACACGGGTGGGGCTTCACTGTGACCCCACCCGCCCAGAGAGGAAGGTAAAACTTTCTCATTTTTTATTTTTTTTTTTTAAATATTCCTGCTGCCTCTTTCGCTTGAACAGCAAAGTGCAGCCACAGCGAGCTCAGGATGAGCTGCGCAGTTATAGAGTGTGTGTGCGTGTGTGTGTGTGTGCGTGTTCTGGAGACTGAATGAATGAATCAACGCCCTTTTTATGGCATAACACTGCTGAGAACAAAAATAGATTGGTAATGCTTGAAGTGTGTGTGTGTGTGTGTGTGTGTGAGTGTGAGTGTGAGTGTGAGAGGGATAAGTGATGATTACTGTGTAAAGTAAACCTCCATAGGGGGCTGTTTTTATATCTATAAATCTATTATTTATTAGCGATACATTTTTGAATAACAGTTGGTTTATGAATGGCTAATCCCAGTTTTTAAACAAGACTATAACAATGTGGAAATAAATGTAAGCTGGTGATTATGTGTTGGGCGGGGTTGGTTTTAAAACGATTGTTTGTGATATCGAACTGGAAACACTGAAGTGTTTATGTTGTGTGGTTTGGGGGGGCCGTAGCAGAAAAGGTTCCTCCTTTGACCCCCCCCCCCCCCCCCCCCTCGGCCTCTGATTCTGGGGTTACTGATGCTGTACGAGGGGCCCCCCCGTGTGCTACACCTTCATTCGGCTACCTCCGTTTTCTAAACTGCTTGAATTTTGGATGAGAATACTGACTTTGTTCTGCACAGGCTGTCGTTAGCTGACGTCATGTTTACATTGGCTGTCGTATTTTTTGAATAAATTGTGCCCTTTAGAGATTTTTTTTTTCTTTTTTAAACATTGCCGTTTACTGTAACCGGTTCAACTTCAACTGTTTCCAATCCTGGGTTTTCATTCTGACCCGTCCAGTACGTCTCGTTGTCGTGTTTGTCTGTAAACCTGCAGCCGCTCGGTGACAATGTGAAGCAATAGACAGTCAGTGTGTCTCTTTATAAAACCTGTCAGTCAGCTAACAATACACACACATGTTTTATTGTGGTCAATTTGTTTTAGACGGTTTCATTTTTAGATTTCTGAGAGAAATTTAACTTTTGTCAAATTAAGTAATTTGTTTAGAGCTAACTGATGATTAATTCATATCCTAAAATCTAAGAACTACATAGGACCTGATGTATGAACATTAAAACTTTTCTTTAACACTGAAAAAGAATACAAACGTTGAATAGAATTATCACTGTTTCATACAATTATTTCTCATTCACTGTCGATGTGAAACGTTTTGATAAGTCGTAAAACATTTCCACAAAACTCTTAATGAAGCCGATAATTAGAGTTCTGATACCAGTGCTGGAAACGCCTTAAATTCTGGACCAGGTATCGGTCGAGTCTGCACTGATCCGATATCAGTCACCGGCTCTTTCACTACACAGGAACAACCCGATCGGTACAAACTAACACTACACCTCCATGCTAACGGTGTGAAGAACAGATGTGCATCAGAATCAGCAGTAGAGCTAGCTGCCGTTAGCGGTTGTCTTGCACTGAGGAACATTATGTTCAGACTCTTATTACTTCGCACTTTTTAATTTCTACTGATAAAGTCCAAATGTGATCTCGTAACACTGGCGCGCAACAGCGTACGATACATAATACGCAGTAATAAACGGCATCAGAAGAACTCACGAGACGCTTGTGGAAACGGCTTCCTGAGGTTTCACGATAATAATTTGTCTAATTGGCTCATTAAGCTATTATTAGAATCAGTTCTATATTTACGGCTGATGAATTACTGGTTTGTACCTCAAATCTGTTGAATACTTTGATAAAGTAATTAAACTAACAAGTCAATAGTGGGACGTTTTATCCCGTACCAGTCGGTGTTTTTAACTTCTAACTGAAAGAATGTAATGCTTCAGGTTCAAGACTCGTCCCCAAACACCATCACACAGAATGTATTGTCTCTCAATCATCCATCTACTGGATGTAGTGTCGAACAAATCCATAAATAAATACAGCGACTAAATATCCTGTTAAAGTATCGCAACACTAACTCAATGCACTGCTGACCCCCTGACGCTCAAACAGGAAGTGTGGACTCGACTTGACTCGGTAACCCGAGTTAGTTCCACACCTGCCGCGTGTCGAGGTTACAGAGTCACAGGTGTGGTTTCACTTCAGTGGCATCGTCTCCTTTAAGAAATCACACCTGTGACCTGATCATTCGTGTTCTCGGTTGTCAGACGGTAGTTTTGAAAGCTTTAGAGATGAAAATGTTTTATGTTGTTTGTTTTGTTTTCTTGCAAAATGTGACTTTGATTTAAAGCTAAAGTTTGACATTTTGGTGAAGATGCTCAACATGAATCGCTTACTGGCAGTGAAATGAGACGATTGATACCACTCTAGTTTAGTATTAAGATAACGGTTAACTTACAGCTAGTTAGCTTAGCATAAAGACAGGACAGTGGCTCGGTCAGATGATAACGTCTACCTACCGGCAACTTTAAAGCTCTATAATTAACACATTTATACTGTTTCTTTCATCTTTACAAAAACAGTGAATTATCATTTTTACACTTAGCTTACAGGTTAGCTAAGTCAAAAAACTGAGTGTTATTGATCTTCTCTAACTCTGCACCAGAAAGCAAATAAACATTTCCCATAATGTCGAACTATTCCTTTAAAGATGGAGGGTCGGTGTGGCGCTGACTTCAATAGAATCTTAGCTTATTTTCAATGTTTTGGTTCATCACACGTGGACTTGTAACAATCCATTATACAACTTCACTTTTACTTCACTTTTAGTAAACATTTGTTTTTGCTGCTTCAAACCTTCTTTCATTCGTCCATATCAAAAGTCCGTGGATGCAGCCACGACATCCTTCTAGTCTTTTGAGTTGTTAAAACGAGACAAAGTAAATAAAAAGATCATTTCCTGCGGCTGCATCCTCACAATGACGACAGATATTTAACACTTTGTGGTCCACATCTGATGCTCCGCCGGCTGCCGGAACAAGTAGAAATCAGATTCTGTGTTAAATCCTCCTCATTGGCTACGATGTGCGCAGGCTGTAGCAGTGGAGGTAACTTATTCACTATGTTGTAACACACAAAAAAAGCGCAAGACTTTGTACTAATTTCCAAATAAAGAGGCTTTGATACCACAACAGTCTGTCTGTCTACTGGATTTATTTAATTATTTTTTTACAATAATGAACGATTAGTGAAAGTTTACCAGAAGAACGTTTTGGAATAGTCTAACTTTATTTAAGATATTTACAGTGTTACAGATGAAGAAAAAAAAAAATCAACTTGGTTAGGACGTGCTGATTCGTAGCTCCTGCCTGCAACTCGCCATGCAGCCATTATTCCAGGTCAACAAACCGATCACAGAAGGGAGCGGCCGAAGAAACAACCATCACACCCTGTGGAAAAGTGGAGGGGGCTATGAAAGTGAAGTGCATGCTGGGATTTTGTTTTTTTTGGGGGGCCCAGATGTGGCGCTGGGAGTGCAGAAACATCTAGAAAGAAAAGCAGCAAAGAGCGACAGGAGGAGTGAAGGAATACAGACAAGTGCATAGCGATCTGGTCCCAGAAGCCACCAGTGATGGAAGGAGTGTGTTTGTGTCTCAGGTATCACCCCTCCCCCCCACCACTAAAGCAAACTTCAAAACTGAACCCCTACCGTCTGCCACCAGGCACGTCTTGGTAATCAACACCGCTAAAATGTCTCAAACTGTCGGGATTCAGTGCTTTAGTTTTTCTTCTTTAAAAAGCAGGATTAGAACGAGCTACAGGCCTCCGCTGACGCCTGGTGGTAAAGTGAGAGTGGCGGCGGGCTCAGCGCTTGCCGAGGCTCCACAGCGGGTCCAGGCTACTGAGCGGGTCGTCGCCTTCCTCCCCTCGAGTCCCGTGGAGACCCTTACCCTCGGCCGGCTGCAGGAAGCTCTGCTTGGTCACCCGCTGCTTCCCCTTGCCCCCTCCCTCCATGGAGAAGGCCTCGGGCGTCAGTGCAGCCAGCAGCTCCAGGGACGAGGGAGCCGAGGCCGAGGAGGCCGAGGAGGCCGGAGGCGGGCTGACGACATCGGGCGTGAGGTCTGGGACCTCCTGGTGGTCGGCTGCCGGTGGCGTGGAGGGGGAGACCGCGTCCAGACCGTTGGGCGGCGGTGGAGGAGAGTGGGTAGGGGAGATGAGAGGCGGGCTGAAAGAGGAGGGAGGCTGGAGGTCTGTGGAGGGGACGGGCTCCTGGAGCGGCTGGACGTCACCCAGCGAGTCCAGCACGGCGTCGACCGGCCCAGAGGGGGCCTCCATGGCGGGGTCTGTGGCGCTGGGAGGCCGGATGCTGAGCTTGGCGATGGTAGCTTGGATGGAGCTGATGGGCATGTCACCACCGAGGACGATGTCCTGCTGGGACTCCTGTCTGGAGTAAGGCTGCAGAGAGACAGGTTCAGATACAAATAAACTAATAATACTAACTAATAATGCTAATAAACTAACTAATAATAGTAATAAACTAACTAATAATGCTAATAAACTTTTATTTCCACTAGAAATAAGAGGAGTACCTCGTCTGACCACAACTCGTAGAAGTCCTTTGGAACAATCAGGTGAGCAAAATGTAAGATAATACAACATTAACACTAAAGTGAGAATGATTGAAGCTACCGGGGAATAACTCAAAGAGTTCACTAGAGGAACAACTCTACTCCTTTCTGACAGCGGACATTTTGAATACAAAGACTTGTAAATAATAAACACTGTAGAGCCACATTAAACTAAATTACAACATTAAAAAAAAAACATAACATGAACCATAACCAGAAAGTTTGAGTTAAATTTGCAAGAACGAAAAACATTTGCTGGTACCAGATCCTTATCCACAATATTTGACCATCTGGTGTTGTGAACCGAGTTGTGAGTGTTGTCAGACCTTTGTGGCTGCAGAGCTGGTGTTCTTGCTGCAGGTGGCGGTCGTGATGCCGTGTCTCTGAAGGACCAGCTCAGCGTGCTTCAACACGGCCTCATAGCAGAACTTCAGGTGGAGCTGGAGACGGACGCAAGAGAGAATATTCAAATATGTCTTCACTCCGAGTACGTAATCCTGCTATTATTACAGTGCCTGGTGAGTTTTAAAGCCAGAGTGTGATTTATAAATAAATGTAAACAATAACCATCTGCTCCAGCCATCAGCCTATGATATGAATGGAAATACAGAGTTTCTGCAGTATGTTGAGGTCGGTGTGTCTGACCTTCTCCTGCAGCATGTTCTTCCTCTGTTGTCTCATCTTCTTCACCAGCAATGGAAGGTCTGGGATCCCGTTTCCCGCCTCCAGCTCCTGCAGCGCGGCGTACAGCAGGCAGAAGACGCCGGTGCGTCCGACGCCCGAGCTGAGGCAGACAAAGAGGACAGACGCTGATTATTTAGCAACACTATTTACATACATGCATATATTGTTTTCAGGTGCTATTTAGGCATCATTTCGCAATCTGACACACACACACACACACACACACACACACACACACCTGCAGTGCACCACGACAGGTGTGTGTAAGGGCCTCTGGTGGAGGTAGTGTCCGTGAACCTCCTGGATGAATCGCAGCAGGTTGCTCTTGCTGTCAGGAAGACCCCTGATGAAAAATATAAATAAACGATGACTCTCGAATAATGAATCCCAAAAACAAACTGTACACACAATCAGAGCCGTGTGTGTGTGTGTGTGTTTTTCTATAGAAACTAAAAATAAGTGTCTCACAGCTCCGGCCAGGAGGTGAACTGGAGATGGACGACGGTGCGCTTCAGGCTCTGGTCGCGGTACTGCAGGCTGATCATGCGCTCCACGTGCGTGGGCGTCGTCTTCTGCGTGGTGAGGCTGAGCGTGATTGGTCCCTGAGCGAGCTGCTGGCCGCGCTCCGTCGGGAAGTAGTGCGCGACTTTTCCCTGAGAGAGATCGAGGAGACGACGTTAAAACACGCAGACGGCAACAAGAGGATAGGAGACGGATGAGGAAATGACTTTTACAGGGTGCTTCTATAGAACAATAAACTAGACGAGCTGAATATCAATAGATATCCACGAAACTAAATGTTTCAGCAAGTCTAAATATCATTAATAATAGAAAGAAAATAACCCTCTTTATTATAAATACTTGTTTTAATCACTTCCATGTTAATCCCTGCACAGACTAAACTTAACTCCGTACCTTTTCCAGCTCCTGCTCTGAAACCAGCATGACTATCAGTGACACCTTCTGCTCGTACACCATCAGCCAGAAGTCCGCCGCTGTGCCGGTGAGCGGAGCCTGCGTGGCAATAAGGCGAGGGCAGTACGGCGACAAGTCTTCCACATAGCTGGCGTTGATGTAGTCGTCTTTGCCCGATTGCAGCACCACGCGGTTGAGGTCATAGGGCATGACGTCCTGGTGACGGTTCTTCATGGTGTAGCAGCGGGCGATGGCGATGGACAGTTGGCGGGCGTCCTTCTCCTGCTGGTCCTGTAGCTCTTTCCAGCGGGCGTCTAGCACCGACAGGCCACCCTCGCTCTCCGAGGGGTGCTCCAGAGAATCCACCCGGGCTCTGTAACGCTCCAGTTCGCCGTGAAGACGGGCGACGCGCTCCGGCGCTTGGTATGGGTCACCCTGGATCAGCAGAACTCCCTGGGAGCTCTTCTTGCGACGCTCCCCATCCTGCGGGTCAGCCTTGGTGGGTTGGAGGACATTGGTGGGGGCCTTGGGGCCTCCTGGTTGGCTCTCGGGGCTCGAAGAGAGGAGGTCATCTGTGCTTGAGTTCTGGCGCTGAAACAACGATGTGGAGGGAGAGACAGCGGAGGGGGAGGGAAGAGTGGGAGGAGCTGCACCTCCAGGGGCAGGAGGTGGCGTGGGTCTCTGCTGGGGGTTCAGACTCAGAGAAGTAGGACCTGGAGAGGGAGATGGGGAGGGGGAAGGCGAAGGGGAAGGATGGACAGCGTTGGGTGGTTGAGCCGCTGGAGGACCTCCAGGAGCCGGCTGGATCATGTGCTGTGCGGTGGGGACGTGTGGAGCACTTGGAGGCACATTAGCTCCTGGAGCTGAAGGATACATAGTGGAGGGCTGCGGGTGGGTCATGGGAAGAGGAGCCTGAGGTTGTTGGGGAGCTGCAGGCTGTGGAGCCAGAGGCTGCTGAGGCATCATGGGAGCCCCTCCAGGGTAGCACACCCCCCCAGAATGAGGGGGCCGAGTCTGGGGCTGGACGGGAATCCGCATGGGCTGTTGGGGCATGTTTGGTATCGGAGGCTGTCCGGGATGGGGGTGATGTTGTGGAGGTAGTGCACTGGGAGGCATCTGTGGCATTGGGCCCCTTGGCAGGTGGACCTGAGGACCGGGGGCCATGTGAGCTTGTGAGGCTGGAGGCATCTGAGGCCGCAGGGTCGGGTGAATGGGATGACTTGTAGGAGGCATGTAGTTCTGAGAGACTGGTGGCATTGGCTGACTTGCGGGGGGCATTTGTGCTCTGGGACCACCTGGTATCTGCATCTGTGGGTGGGGCGGAATGTGCTGGGCATTAGGGGGCATTGAGATTTGTTGATGTTGTGGCATCATGTGCTGGTGAGGGAGTCCAGGGGGCATCTGTTGGTGGGGATGGGGCAGGTAGGGCTGAGACACAGGGGGTGCTGGCTGAGAAGTTGGGGGCATGTGTGGATGTACATGCTGAGGTGGCATCTGGCCATGAGGTGGCCTCTGCATGGAGCCTGGAATCATCTGAGGGTGATGCTGGGGTGCATAGCCCGGTGCAGTCTGGTAGCCTTGGGGGAGCTGGGGCTGGGGCTGATAGCCATTTTGTTGATGTGGCTGCAGCTGCCCCGGGAACGCCTGCTGGTAATGGGGAGGAACGCCAGGCTGAGGGGGCATATATCCATGATGGTAGCCTTGCTGAGCCTGGAGATGAGGGTGAGGACCAGGCATAGCCCTTGGCCCAGGCTGGTACCCCTGAGGCAGTGGATGCCCGATGGGCTGAGGGTACGGCTGTTTCTGCTGCTGTGGTTGCGGTGGTGGGCCTTGAACGGGCATTCCTGGTCGGGGCATAAACTGGGGGTAGGCCCCCATCTGTGGGGGTACATTGTAGCCAGTAGAGGCTGCAGGAGGGACATGGTGGTGTTGTGGTGCCGGGGCGTAGCTGGGGATAGGGGCCTGGATGTTATCCACGATGGTGGTAGAAGGCCGGACTGGGGTCGGGGCTACAAGGCCAGGTTGGGGGGCTTGAGGATGGGGTGGCCGATAACCTGACGGAGGCATCTGTGCAGTCATCTGAGGGAGGGGTCCGTGTGGCAGAGGTCCAGAAGTAGGAAACTGAGCGATCCGCGCCAGGAGCTCTGGAGGAGGCAGGTTGGCAGGGAAGCGAGCAAGACCAGCAGCTGGAGCACCAGGCCAAGGCAGAGAGCCAGCGGTAGGGGGCATGAAGGCTTCGGGACCGGGAAGACGAGCAGCAGAGCAGGGGAAAGAGGACATGTCAGGGGGGAGGCTGCGGAGCTCTTCGGGTAGGTCACCCCCCAAGGCCAAGATGGCTGCACTCAGCTGGGCCAACTCTGTATCATCCAGGCTGGAGCCGGCCGAGTCGACATCCGAAGCCTTTGGCTTCAGGGAGGGCTTGGCTGCCGTTGGTCGTGCTGGGGGCTTCTTCTGGATCTCTCTGAGGAGGAGACAAACAAACGGAGAGTATCGGTAAATGAAGGATCTGACAGTACAAAACCAGATCCTCGTTGCGAGAGTAATCCACCACAACTCAAAATACAGGTTTCTTGTATTTCAGATTTCAAAACTTTCAAGAACCTCACTCCTGCAATTAAAACTCTATCGTTATAAATGTGTGCCTCACTTTTCCAAGGCGGGCTTCCTCTCCTCGGCCCTGGTCTGACACAGGGTCTTCGCTCTCTCCAGCAGACGGGATGCTTTGGCCTCCAGGTCGTCGTAGAACTCCTTCCCCTCCTGAGACTTCTTCATCAGGTCCTCGTAGGCTTCGTAGGAGCCCACCAGTCCCTGGACGGTGCCGTTCCACTGCTGCTCCGTCTGGCTCAGGCCCTTACGGACCGAGGCGTACTGGACGTTGGCCTCCGTCAGGGCCTTCAGGATGTTCTCCTGAGCTGCCAGGTTCTGTTCGATGTACACCTTCACCTGCTCGTACTTCTTCAGCTGCTCCTCAAATATACGCTGAAAGGACGCCGGTTAGTTAGAGGTGTCTGTGTAATGCTTTTTCAAAAAGACTTACTATACTTCAGCCACAAGCGGACACAAAACCTACTGGCTCTGGTGCAATTTTAAGCTCTCTTCCTTGAAGTTACAATCTGCATTGTCTTTAGGGAGTCACAGGTCAGCCACATACCCTCATGTCTGCCCTCTCTGTGGTGACGAGGGTGGAGGTGATGTCGTCCTGCTGGATTAGGTCGCGGAGTTGATTCTCCAAAGAGCTTCTCTGTTCCCTCATTTCCTGCACCTTCCCCAGGATCCGCTTCATACACTGCAGCCCTGCTACTTCCTCTGCACACACGCACAGAATACGACTTTCATCAAACCTTCATTCAACTAAATTAGGCTACTGTGCTAAACCTTCTACGTCACACACACACCCTCACCTTCGCTGAGCTGGGGCCGGGGCAGGGCCTCCTTCAGACTCTCCAGTGGCCCCCCCAGCAGACGCAGGTTGCTGATGTGCAGGTGCATGGCCCGGTGGAGCTCCGTGTTGGTAAAACTGGCCTTCTCGTGGGCCTCCATGTACTTCTCCAGGTCCCTGCGGATCTCAGCCAGAGCCTGGGCCTGCGCTGCCGGGTGCACCTCGCCCGCAGCGGGGCCGCCCACCTCCTGGAGGGCTCGCCTGCTGGCCTCGTCCACCTCTAGGACGTCTCTTATCTCCTTCAGCGAAGACTCCACGTCGGTGAAGACGCCCGAGAGCCCTACGGAGGCAAGAAAATGTGACAGGCGTTATTTACCCTGAAGCTGCAGAGAACACACAAACAATCATAAAGAATATGGCAAAAAAAACAAAACAAGACTTAGAATAAGTTCTCCCAGTTTGGAATGTGAGTTTACAGTATATTCAGCAGCTTAGATTTATACACATTACATTAAAAATGTATGCATATGATTCATGTAATTGTCAAAACAAATATAACGTTAAAGTTATTCTCAAAATAGTCAAGGTTTTTCTTCAGAACGTCAGTTTGTTAATTTGTTTTCGCTAATTAGGAACAACTAGATCATAAATCAAGACTTTTTGTTCAGTCAAAGTGTGCGTGTGTGTGTGTGTGTGTGTGTGTGTGTGCGTGCGTGTGTGTGTGTGTGTGTGTGCTCACTGACCCTGCATGGACTGGATGAGGCTCTTGACTGTGTCGGGTCGGACACTGAGAGCAGCACACTTCTCCATCAGGACCGGAGGGATGTGGCTGTACATGTCCAGGTTGTCCACCGACTCCGGCTCCAAGCCCAGAGAGTCCATGAACTGCCTGCAGGAGGAGACGAGACCAGTCAGCTCGTACCGACACAGTGAGGTCTGGTTTCAAACATAATAATAATTCTGTTCCTTTCAGTAAATCTCTTTTACTTTTGAGGATGAAAAAGGTACAAACATCTGGAAAACAATGGATTCTTAAAGCAAGATGTCCAATGATCATCCTCTTTTTATTGACATTTTATATTTAATTTATATTCATCTCCTTGATCTTCAACAAACTTTTATAGACCAATCCAATTCTAAATCTAGAAACTATTCAGTTGGAGTCCTAAAATGCACTTAAATTGAAAAAAGCTGATTTAGAATTTCAATGCCAAAGTTATGAATGATGCTTCGAACTATTCGGTACAGCCACACACATTTTAGCTCATTTATTTTGCAGAAAAGCTCCTTATGCTCGCTCACACACACTCACACACACACTCACTCTAGTGTTTCATTCCTGCTCTCGATCTTGATCATGACGTCCCTCAGCAGCTTGGCCTTCTCCTCACTGGAAAAAGAAAACATAACCGCAGACATCAGCAAACTAAACTCACTCTTCTTCACTTGTCTAATACTTGGCGTCCACTGAAGGTGCCAACCTGTACAGCGAGGAGGCTTCATGGGCGGCCATTGGCACCAACTTGGCGAACAGGTCTGGTCCAGTAACACTGGGGTCTGTGGGGTTGACTGGTAGAGCTTTCACCAGTGGGGCACCTTGGGAGGACACGGAGCAGCTGGTTTTACTGGCATCACAGTAACACATGAGCTCGACTTTATAGAGAATCGATCAACCGAACACGAGGGATCAAAATCAATAGCAGGAGAGCTACAGCCTCTCTCGTTTGTCCTCTTAACAACAGCCAGCCAGTTTGAGAACCAATGATAGCATTTTGGATAAAAGGTAAGATCTTAAATTAGTGAAACCTGCTGAGTCACATAGCTGCACAAACCAGTAGCACACCCAGTTAAATAAATCCATAGACACACAACATACATACATACATGCAACAAACTACATCCATATGCAAATGCTGCTTTGCATGCACACGGTGATAAAGACGGTGCAGGAGAACCCACTGAAGCTTCTTCCTGTTACCTTTCACTGAGGCCAGAGTCTCCAGAGAAGGAACCGTCTCGTGATAGATGAAGTCATTGTCCTTTTTGGCTGAATTAAACCTGCGGGTGAAAAAGACAACGTTCTAACTATAACTGTATTTCTGCAGGTTCTGATTTTGAAGTAAGACACCAGTGAAATAACAAAAATGACAAGTGACACAAGAGTTATTGCTCACTTTCCCCCGATAACATCCATGGTGAACCTCAAGGCGTCTTGCACGCTGTCAGGTTGTCCCTGGTTGTACCAAGAAAACACAGAGGAGTTGGTTTACAAAACTAAAGACGGGCTTGCGGTGCCACTGAAATCATCTAATCGTGTGATGCTGGGTAACATTCTACCTTTGCCAGCTTGATGGCTTCGGTGAGCTTGTCCAGAGAGCTCTGCAGGTACGCCAACTGATGGAAACAGAACATTTAGGTGAGCAACAGGAGGACACGCAGGGGAGAGGAAAACTGGAGTGAGATAGAGAATACATCGAGACATTTAGCAAGAGGGAAGGCAGCTTACTAAGACTGTAAAACTAGCTTACAGAAGCTTCATTTCACGAAGAAAGATGTCAACCGTGTTGGTTGTAATGTCTGTAAAATACTTATTCCTAGGAAGGGTGGAAACACCAGCAATAAGAGGAAACATCCTTCTACGCAACATGGGCTTAAATTCCAGGAATGCCATTTATTAGTCACTCTATGTACGAGTGCCGCTGCTGCCCAACCGAGCAGCACGTCCTTCATCCAGTGTTACAAAAATGAAGAAAGATTGTTTATTTTATCAATTTTAAAGTTATTAAAGTTTTATATTTGTTTTCCAAGTTATGTCCTTTAAAGAAAAGGAGCCTTGTAATTCATTCTAACGTGTTGAAGTGTTATTAGGCAGACCTTCTACACTGGGTTAAACTCAGATAATGAAACTTGTGTACTTTTTTTCCCCCACACAGAAAATTGATCAGGAATCGATAAGAGAACCGATAAAGAACCGGACCTGGAAGCAGAATCGATAACGGCATTGGTGTCAATATGTCAATTTCAATCCCTAATTGTGAACCAAAACAAAAGTGAATTTGCTGCAGCTTTTGTGACAAGTGGAGCTAAAGTATTTCTGTGCTGCTGTGAGATGAAATAGTGGTCTCGTTGAGCGTGATACACAGTGTTGAGGCTTTACAGACAGAAAACTGCTGGAAAATTAGCAGATTTCTTTCTGTATTTCTTGCAGAAACTAGTATACGTTTTGAATTACTTGCAAGATCTCGCAAAGTATTGCAAGAAACGGTTTAATTCCCAGAGAGACGGTTAATTTCGGTCTGGAACAATGCTGTGATCAGCAGCACATCGACAGTGGAAGGAAAAAACAAATCCTAATTTGGAAATTTGGTCCTACCCGCTCTCCATACTTCTGCTGCTCCTCGGCCTGTTTCCCCATGTGAAGCTGTGAAGAGAACAAACTAAACTGTTACTAAATAATCAAATGACAACACACAGACACGTTCATACACACACACACACACACACACACACACACACACACACTTGTCTCTCTCTCTATCTCTCTCTCTCTCTCTCATTAGACTCACATGTGCAATAGAAGCAAAGTAGTAGATCTTCATCTGGACCAGTTTCTTCCAGTCTTTCTGAATCTTTCCCAGCATGGACACCGTCTCAGAGTTTTCCAGCGCCCTGCAGGCCTCTTTATAGTAATCCACCACCTGCAGCACCACATCCACTTATAAACCGCCAACATTGGAATCATTGATTGACATGATGCGATATAATTAAATGAGATTCATATCTAATGGTAAGAAGCTGACCTGAGCGCTGATGCGAGCCACCAGAAAGCTCTTCCTGTTGTCCAACATGGACTTCTCCAGAAGACACTCCTGAGCCTGACCCTGAGAGGCAGATACACACAGGTGGATGAGACATGTTTCTACGTGTGTGTGTGTGTGTGTGTGTGTCACCTACCAGCATGAGGTTGATGCTGAGGTTAAGGATCTGGTGGCTCATGTCCACACTGAAGTTGTGGCTGAAATGGTCTCTCAGGTAGGAGAAAGCCCCCGCCGAGCACTGGAAGTGCGTACACGACACCTTCATCCCCTGGACAGCAGAGAGTCAGTGGGACTGTGTGTGTGTGTGTGTGTGTGTGTGTGTGTGTGTGTGTGTGTGTGT